ACAGTCTCATTATGTCACACTCAGTAGAGCGTTGTGGCGTCACAGCTCACAGCAACCTTAAACTCTTGGGCTAAAGTGATTCTCTTGCCTCAGCCTCCCAAGTAGCTGGGACTATAGGCACTCGCTACAACACTTGGCTATTTTTTTTGTTGTAGTTGTCATTGTTGTTTTAGCAGGCCCAGGCTGGGTTCCAACGGCCAGTCCCTGGTATATGTGACTGGCGCCCTACCCACTGAGCCACGGGCCCTGCTGTAGATAGATTGTCTTATGTGTCTTTTTAAACTGAATAAAGGAGACTGGACTGGTGGTGCATTCCTCTAATCCTACCACTGTGGGAGGAGGAGGCAGGTTGATTGCCCGAGTTCAGGAGTTTTATACCAGCCTAATCAAGAGGGAGACTCCATCTCTAAAAATAGCTAACCCTTGTGGCAGGCATTTGTAATCCCAGCTCCTCTGGCGGCTAAGGCTGGAGGATCATTTGAACCTAGGAGTTTGAGGTTGCTGTGAGCTATGATTTCATAGTATTCTACTGAGGGTGACAAAATGAGATTCTGTCTCTAAATAAATTAAATTAAAATAAAAACAAACTGAATAAAACGGAGAAATATTATCAAATGCCAAGGGATTTAAATATAATAGGTATAAACATTATTTTACTTTAAATAATTTCCCAATTTACTTTCAGATCTTTGATGCTTTTAAATCTCGACTTCATGATTCTAATAGTAAAGTAAATCTGGTGGCTCTGGAAACAATGTACAAAATGATTCCTTTACTTAGAGATAATTTGTCTCCTATAATCAATATGCTAATTCCAGCAATAGTGGATAATAATCTGAATTCCAAGAATCCCGGCATCTACACTGCTGCTACAAATGTTGTTCAGGCACTGAGTCAGCATGTAGGTAAGAATCTTACTTTGGCATTCGAATCGCCTTGACTACTTTCATACTTGCTGATTAAACATTTTGTTATTTTTATAATGCTGAAATCCTACTTATCCAATTTTTAAATTTAGTATTATCATTCAATTTATTTTCCCTAGAGTTTTAAAATTCTAGTGATTAAATTCTATATCATTAAATTTACTTTCTCATCTCTTAAGCACAAGAATTTGAGGTTGTTGTGAGCTGTGATGCAACAGCACTCTACTGAGGGCAACAATGTAAGACTCTGTCTCAACAACAACAAAAAAATAGGTTTGGCCCCAGTAGCCCAGGCCAGCTAAACAATGACTACTGTAACCAAACAAAAAAAAAAATTGTCAAGCATTGTGGCGGGTGCCTGTAGTCCCAGCTACCTGGGAGGCTGAGGCAAGAGAATTGCTTAAGCCCAAGAGTTTAAGGTTGCTGTGAACTGTGCTGTAATGCCATAGCACTCTACACAGGGCAACAGCTTGAGACTCTGTTTCACACACAAAAAATAAAATAAAAAATTAATTTCTCTTCCCTTATTTTGGACTTTTCTTTCTTTTTCCATCTCAGCCTCATATCTGATACTAAATTTATTCAGAAGGGATCATTCAACTGTAAATTTTTATTTTTAGAGACAGAGTCTCATTTTGTCACCCTCGGTAGAGTGCTGTGGCATCACAGCTCATAGCAAACTCCAGCTCTTGGGCTTAGGCGATTCTCCTGCCTCAGCCTCTTGAGTAACTGGGACTATAGGTGCCCACCACAGCGCCTGGCTGTTCTTTTGGAATTTTTTGTTTTTGTTGTTGTTGTTGCAGTTTGGCCAAGGCCAGGTTTGATCTTGCCACCCTCGGTATATGGGTTGGCACCCCACTCACTGAGCCACAGGCACCACCCTCAAATGTAAATTTTAATTATAAAACTTATAGAAGATAACATGAGAAAATCTTAGGGCTTGGTGAAGAGTTTTTTATACAAGAAACACTACAAGTGTGATCCAAGAAAACTAATAAGTTGAACTGCATCAAAATTTTTAAGTTTGCTCTGCAAAAAAATCCTACTAAGTGGGGCCAGGCGTGGCCTATAATTCTAGCACTCTGGGAGGCCAAGGCAGGTGAATTGCCTGAGCTTATGGGTTCAAGACCAGCCTGAGCAAAAGCAAGACCTCGTCTCTACTAAAAATAGAAAAACTGAGGCAAGAGGATCACTTGAGCCCAAGAGTTGGAGGTTGCTTTGAGCTATGACGCCATGGCATTCTACCCAGGGTGACAGGTTGAGACTCTGTCTCAAAAAAAAAGAATGTTAGTCTGGTAAGGCTTGAAAAAGAATTGTAAATAGTAATTAGCTATATATTTTTTAAAACTTAAGACATTTTCATCAAAGATATGTTTTCCTTTCAATGCTATTTAATAAAAATGAAGTAACATGTCTCTGTGTTATTCTTTTTGTTTAGACAATTATTTACTTCTACAGCCATTTTGCACAAAAGCTCAATTTTTGAACGGGAAAGCAAAACAGGATATGACGGAAAAGCTTGCTGGTAATGACTTTAATTGTACTTTCTATTTTTTTTTTTGTTGTTGTTTTTGTTTGTTTGTTTTTTAGAGACAGAATCTCACTTTATCACCCTCAGTAGAGTACAGTGGCATCACAGCTCACAGCAACCTCCAGTTCTTGGGCTTGGGCAATTCTCCTGCCTCAGCTTCCTGAGTAGCTGAGACTAGAGGCACCCACCACAATACCTGGTTATTTTTTTGTTGCAGTTTGGCCAGGGCCTGGTTTGAACCTGCCACCCTCAGTATATAGGGCCCGTGCCCTACTCACTGAGCCACAGGCACTGCCTTAATTGTACTTTATAAAGAAACCTTTTATTACCAAAGAATAAACTGATGAGTATTTCAGCTTAGCTTTAGAATAGCTACCAATTCAATATCATTGCCCATGAAGTAGAAATAAATTGTGAAATGATCCATAGAGAATCTTTTAACACTTTTATCCAAAAAATTCTCTTCAAAAGAATTTTATTCTGGCCAGGCACCATGGCTCCACTCCTGTCATCTTGGGAGGCTGAGGCGGATGGATTGCTTGAGCTCAGGAGCTCATAACCAGCCTCAGCAAGAGTGACACCCTGTCTCTACTAAAAATAGAAAAAAACTAGCTGGGTGTGTGGCAGGTACCTGTCATCCTCACTATTTGGGAGGCTGTAGCAAGAAGGTTACTTGAGCCCAAGAGTTTAAGGTTACTGTGAGCTATGACACCATAACACTTCCCAGGGCAATGAAGTGAGACTCCTGTCTCAGAAAAAAAGAATAGAATTGTATTCCTTTTTTCTATTCCATTCCTTTTTGTCATCTTGTTAGTAGAAATAATACAAGAAAAAAAGACATTTAAATCAAATGTTGGTGCTCTCGGAAAATGGCAATTTCAAAATTATTTGATAAAAGGTCCATTGGTTAAAAATGTTTAAATTTTGGCTCAGTTCCCGTAGTACAGTGGTTACAGGCACTAGCCACAAGCCCCGAGGCTAGTGAGCTCGAGTGTAGCCCAGGCCAGCTAAACAATGACAACTGCAAACAAGAAAATAGCCAGACATTGTGGCAGGCACCTGTAGTCCCAGCTACTCGGGAGGCTGAGGCAAGAGAATGGCTTAAGCCGAAGACTTTGAGGTTGCTGTGAGCTGTGAC